ATTATTCTCTTTCGAATGTTGAAAATCACAGGTCTCTAGCTGCTTCCTATCCGGAGTTATTCAACTTACAACCGAGTGCATTGTTCATTGAAATGGATAGTAGATGCAAATAATTTTCAGAATAAATACCAATGTTTTCAACACTTAACAAGTGCGTTCACTACGAACATATTTATACAAAATAGACTAAAAAATGAAAAGTTTTTCATAGCTACTGACATATTTATTCCTAGCCTATTTTTGTATGGCCTTAGAATGAATGGCAGCTAGAATCCTAAAAAGAAATATAGATTCAAAAATAAAAATCTAGGTCTGAGTTATTTCTTAAGCTTTGAGCCATTGCAGTCTTCAATTGTAACCAAAGTGCATCATGACACTAATCTACATACAAATAACTCATATTCTTTAATTTTTTCATTCTTTGGTTTATTAACAAACATTTAATCTAACTGATGAATCATCGAAAAAAACCGCACGTTTTAACCGTTCCAACCTGACATCAAAATGACGATTTTCGGCATTTTTTTCGTCAGGTTGCGCGACCTGACAGTTTATGCATCGAGTTTTTCTTATCGAATGTTTTGAAATGAATTATTCTTTCTTTTACAAAAATTTACAAAAAAGTCAGAGTATAAAAGCTTCTGTTTTTATCAGAATAACTGTACTGTTGCAAATATACCTTTTTAAAAAAATCAAAAGAACAAGTAAGAAATAAATATAAAGATCTTATTATAATCATATGTATCAATAACGAAAACTTAAGTTAACGGTAAACGCCATCTAAAAAAGTAATATACAGAAATAAGCGATAAAACCTTAAATCCCTAGCGAACAACGTTGAAAACTATAACTAAAAGCAAATACTTTAAAATTTTGGCAGCTTCTACAAAAATCTGTCATTAGTTGCTCGGTTTTAAGCAAAAAGCCTGAAAGAGGAGAGTACGTAAGAAATCGGAGAAATATTGAGTACTGAGAAAAAATAATCGGAATAAAGTCAACTATAATTCCACTAAAAAACTGAATGCGGCGCTGGGTCAGATGCTTTCTTTTTCTTCCAAAAGCAATGGCACAATTTTAATCCGCAAGTCTATGGCCGTTTAAGTACCACAGTGCTATGTGAAGAGCCAAAACTCTTCTTTATAAGCAGAGCATTCCATAAAAGAACTTTAATCGAAGACGAATAGTATGTAGACTGATGCATGATGTCTCAGTTTATGTACTTTGCATATATGTTACCTGGACTGAATTCACTGAATGAATATTTTAAATTAAACGAAGATTCTAATTACGAAATGCTTTGGCATTCTCAGTTTTTCCAAGAAATTCGCGATGGTGCTTTTGAGATAAATATATTTTACATTCCACAGTGATGCTATCTTCCTCATAATAATATTTATCTCAAAAGCACCATCGCGAATTTCTTGGAAAAACTGAGAATGCCAAAGCATTTCGTAATTAGAATCTTCGTTTAATTTAAAATATTCATTCAGTGAATTCAGTCCAGGTAACATATATGCAAAGTACATAAACTGAGGCAACATGCATCAGTCTACATACCAGAAATTTTCAAGAGAAATAAATGAAACACATTCTATTCCACCATTCTTTAGCATAGTGCTCCTTTTCAAAGTCAAATGATGCCCACTGGCTATTTCATTCCCCAATACAAAATCATACAGACGTTTAAAACGTTCCAACCTGACGTTTTCATTTCTATTCCTTTTAGCTCCAAGGAGAGACTGCCTAGGTCAATTCGCATTGACTCTGGCTCTTTGAAGGTAACAGGAAACAACTTGACGTTTTTCCAAGAGAAAGATTAAAACGTTATGTTGACCTGGCATTTTAACGCTCAGGTTGGTATAGTACACAAGAGTTAAAATGTCAGATTAGAACAGTTGTTAAAGCGTGCGTTTTTTTTGTAATGGCACCTGTTCGTCTACTTGATTACTTCGTCAACCAACCATTATGTCATATAAGTGCTTGATCCAACCACGGGCTCATTTCGCTGAACAAAGTGATTTTTTTAATCTTTAATATTAAGAAAGACTTAAAATAGTAAAGTTTTCTTTCCTGTTGGATGCATTAGTGCTATATAAATATTGTTCATATTATTGGTTATTTCTGGAAAAACTACGACGTAAGTACGAAAAAAACTGTTAATTAGGTATTTTGTTTATCTAGTTTATTTGTTCCCAATGTGATTTTTATCCTATTAAGATTAGTTAATTTGATGATTCGTTCATTCAGTTCACACCATGCATGTTGTTCAGTCAAAACTGAATACTAAATTCAAATCCGCCTAAATCTACATCTATATTCTTATGTACAGTTTCGGTTTGTTATTGTTTCTAGTATTTGGTGTTGTCAACTTTTCCGCTTTTCGGCCCCTCTTCTGGTGATAGTTCTGTATCTTTCTCGTTAAAAAAATTTCAGACGTCTATTCTATTATTGTAACTGAGATCTGATTTGATTTTACATATGACTTTTTAGTACGACATTCATAATGATAGTGCGCATGCGTACTTCTTCACGCTGATGCTTATGTTCTTGTTTAAGAATTTTATTAAAAGAAAAAATAGTAAATCACACCTATGATTTATCATAATCACAATTCATATGAACAAAATCAAGTGCTAATATCAACTCATGTCTTCGAACTAATCTTTTTTTCAACGTTTGATGAGGTTACTGTTTTGTTTTTCCGTGGATTAAACGTAAACATCTTTGCTTTCCATGTCGATCTAATACAGACTCGTTCTCAGAACAAGTAAAATTCATTTCACTGGTTATCTTATTTTGAACATTATCATTTCATTTTGGATCATATTGTAGATGTTGTTTATCCTAAGATTACACTGACAATCTATTTTATTTAATAATTGTTTTTCAGTTGATTAGTAAAAAGGATAAAACATTATAAAATGCTTGTTTTTTCAATCATCAGACAGATTTTGACTAATGTTTGGTTTTCTAAGCAGAGAAAGAGTTGCTTTTTACTAAAATTCATTTAGTTATTCGTAATACGGATGAATAATTGATTAGCAGCAAATTTTTTTAGCCGATTCTCGTCAAATACTTTCTATAAAATACATGCTGCCGGAACCTCGAAAGTTCAGCAGGTTTTTATTTTGGTATTTTTTTATACATGATTAAATAATCTATATTTCAAAATTTTTCATTGAGTTTAATTTTTTGGTGATGTGGATTTTTCGACGTAAAAGTTCGAGAGAAACTTAAACTGGTCGGATAGGAAAGAAAAGTATATCGTTCGACTCAGTTGTTTTAAGAAAAGATTTTATGTAAAAAGAACATCAGACACGGTCAGATCGCTTTGTCTCCTCGATGTATTTTAAAATAACTCTGTAAATATTTTGCATCTCCTCAAATGAATGGTGGACGTCTCTAAAATCACGGAGAATAAAATCAACACTCTCAAATTTGTTAGCAGTTAATTTTACCATTTTTCTTCTCATCTTTTTCGTTGCCTGCGTGTAATTTGGACACTGTAAAAAGAAATGGGCAACAGTTTCATCCTCGCTACATGAACAATGGACTCAGTTTTTGACGCTGATTCCGAATATGATATTTATATTGGATAAAAGTTGGATTCTGATGGAGAATTACAGGGAAAATTCAGATTTTTTTCCTCTTGATCTAGGAAAAATGAATTTACTCAGTGGCGAATCAAAATAAAATAAGGCGATTTATACTTTTAAAGTTTGTTTAATCGCGATTCTAATGAAGTAGAAAGATCGGCTTCATCTCTTCACAAGAAAACTAGAGAGGTTTACAAAATTGTTTACGAACTTTTTATAGGACCAATCAGAAACGTCCGTAATAAATAGACCTTCGACTTCAACCTCGATCAAACATCATTCTCATACTCAGATTTTGAGGTTGAATGTGAAAAAATGCTTTCGAAATGTTTGAAGAACGAAAAAGAAAAAAATTTGAATTTTTTTTGAAACTGAAGAGTTTTTTGAAAATTTAGACCCTTCAAATATTTTAAATGTTTTCAAACATTAAAAGACATACTTTCTGAATCGTCTCCACGCGTTCTATCCAACCATGTATGAAAATGAAAACCTACTGAATTTTCGAATTGGCCGGTTGTTTATTCACTTTTACTTTTCTTTATTGGTTTCAAGGCTTGAATAAATTCTGAGATTATTTTTTTTTCTGTTTTTAGAATAAAAAATGAATTTGAAAGACCATCTTCAGCAACAGTCAATTATTTTTACAGAATCAGAATGTCCCGGAGTTGAACAGGCATTACAACAATTTTTTCGTGCTACAAAATTAATGGAAGAAGAAGTCATGTTACCGACGCGTTTGAGAGATTTAGTTTTAGAAAAACGTCAACAACCAAATGGAAGTAGACGTTCGTCATCATCGACAGGATCGATTCCGGATGAGCACAGTTGTTATGAACTATTTTACTTCATTAGGCGAATAAGAGATCAACTTAAATGTTTAAAACCATTTATATCGGAAGACGACCAGATAACAACACAACACGGTGAGTCAGTTATTTGTATTTTGTGTTTTTATGGTGGAACGAGAAGTTAATGACAGTAAGAATCTAACATCAAGAATTTTGTTTTGTTGTTAATAATTTTTTGGTGTTTGCTTCTTACTTTCAGAGTCTACATCTTCACGAGCAGTCGTTTCTTTCTCTAGATTTAAAAAAATTTATTAAATTTATGACAATCCGTTCTTTTAAAGCTAATTTATTCAAATTTGATACAAAACATTTTTCCTTTCAATCACATCTCATCAACCAACTCATATCGCACACATCTGATCAGCCGAAGGACGTATGCGTGTGCGAGAAACTAATTTTTTGTTGATGGCTCGAATCCCAGAATAATTCTATTTGCTACAAACTGTCCAAACACCTATATGATAATGATCTTTATGATAAAGACACACTAAAAAGCTAGCATGACTTCAACAAATCACAATTGTGAGACAAAATACGTCACCCATGGGAACAGAGCATCCCATGACCACTTGATTCGCCACTGAAGAAATATCTTCTGTTGTTTTTCGTTGTCTGACTGAGTTATGCCGAAATCAGATGCGAGCAATGCTCGTACATGTTATATTTTGTGCCAAAACAGATATTCTGTTACTTTTAGGCTTCTAAAAGTTTTATTTGAATCGATGCCGCGTTGCTAATTTTTAAAATTAGAAAAATTCTATGCAGTATAACTCGAATCAATCTTTTAATTATTTGTGTTTAGATCCAAATAAATTGTTAATAACGGGAGATGATTATTCAAATCAACAACCCTCTCAAAATCTTCTCACTGGAATAGATTCAAATTTAGATGTTTTATTATCACAGTTAACCTATCATTACTATGGACTCATTCAAATCTTTAAACATTTAGCACAATTAGCAAATTGTGTTACATCGAAATACCATGAAGCTGTGTGCACTAACTGAAAATCAAAAAAAACGAATCTCTTTGTCATTTTAGTCATGATGTATTTTATTTTATTTGTTTAGATCTATGTGTTCTGATATCTCCTATACAGATGTTTAATTTGCATTTCGTTTTTTATTCGTTCTTTTTAACAGATTTTTTTCTTTTCTTTGTTCAATCTATGTTGTATAACTTTTAAGCAATAAAAAACAGATCCGAACTTTCAATGAGTTCCATATTTTTTTCTAACGATAATCATTCGAAAAAAATTGAATAACTTATGATAAAGAAGAGCTGCCAAGATGTAATGTGAACTTGAGTTAATTTTATCCTAAGAAAAATTCAACAAATTTGTTGACATTATTTGATCTTATTTGTGTAGAACAAGGCTACTTGTAAAACTAAACAAAAAATTCGATTCATTTTATGTATTATATTTTCTATTTGTAGATATCTGAACCTTGAGTATGAATTAGTATTAAAGTTCAACTTATTTATTAGGTAGGAAATTGTGCATTATCTGTATGATAAAAAAGAATTATATACTCACACTCTATTGATACTACGCTGTTTTATCCATTCACCCCTATTGTGTGATAATTATATCCATGTGATAGGATTACTACATAACAAGTGAATTGTTTTTTATCCTCGTTCTAACACAAGGATCTTTTAAAATAGTTATATATCGTTCGAGAATTACCTATTTTTCATGAATCATTTTCTTTTTTATCGTTCTTTATATTATGATTCTGTATATGTTCTTCTATAAGTCAAATTTGTTAATAATAAGAAATAGGGAATAAAGAAGGAGTATGTATTTGTTACTATCACCTAACTAAACATACACCACTATCAGACTAAAAATATTAATACATTTACCCACACACAATAATCATCAGATGAAAAGAAGAGAACAGTAAAACCGCAATCCTCTTTCGTTTCTCAGATATAGAACGAGAAAAGAAAAGACAGTATGAAAGAACGGGAAAAAGAAAGAGTAGAATTAGACTCTGAAAAAAAATAACTTCGTTATTCTTTTCTTTCATCTTAAATGTACATCTATATGTGTACAGTAGAAGAGATGAGAGAGAGAGAGAGAGAGAGAGAGAGAGAGAGACCGTGAGAAATGTATGTGACGTTTGCTTTAGAGTATTATTATTATTATTATTCTATCACATATATATATATATACACACATATATATATCTTTTTTCTGCTTGTACATACGCTTTAGAAAGTAAGTTCTTTATATATTAGAAAAAGAACATGTAGAAAGATGTAAGGTAGCAAATTTTTTCTTCTTCTATCGTCCAAATCGACTCTATGTTGTATAGTGTTCCGCTTTACTAGAGATGTTCAAAAGATATACAACTATACTTTTCAATTTATCAAAATATTGTTTCTAACTTTTAGACAAAAATCTTTTTCATAAATTGAGTACAGATATTATCTGATGAAAATAACATGACAACAAAATATAACTCGGATAATAGGAAAACAATGTATTTACCTTGATGTTAATGATATCATTTTATCGATTTTAGATGATATCTCCGTGTCAACATATGCCATTTTTATTTTTATTATTGTTTATTTTTACTTATCAATGTTTATGTCAGCAAACATCACAGTTAGATCAGAGTACATACTGTTCTATTGATGGTGTTCATGGTCGAGATGGAACACTACAACAATCACAAGATGGAAATCAAGATTTTGAAATTGTATTATATACCACAAGATTTCTACAAGATGAATCAATTACAAGTAAGTGATAATAAATTTATACAAATAACATCAGTTAAATCAGAAAATTTAATTAGTTATGAGAACTATTTTTTGAAATGATAGATATTTGTTTTATCCATTTTTAATTTGTTATTTGTTGTTTTTTATTTCAGTTGTATTGAAACAACTTCGTGAAAATCATGGTATTAGTGAATTTGTTTTAAAAGGTCTTGATCATAATAATGAAATTGTTGGAAGATTTGATCAACCTCGAATATCTGATAGAAATATTAAATATTTTAGTTGTTCGTCGGGCAATGGAAATGTGTGTAATTAAACTGTATTCTATGGATCCTATCGTACTATAAATATTATTTCATTTTAGACCGCATACACCGATAAATTAGTGCCACCAATGCAAAAACATTATCTCGCATGGAGAGCAGAAGTATCACGTGAAGTCGATCAAATTATATTCAGGTCAGTGATAATGACCAATTTCTAACTTCCGAAACAATGGAAGTCAGACACTTTCTTCTTATATAAGTATTTTGTTTGTGTTTTAAGAGCTGATGTTGTTAGTGGTAATCAACTTTATCATGTTCAATCAAAACCTTTAAAACGTGTATGTTATTTTTATTTATTTCCCATTTATAAATCAGATATGAAACATTTTCTCTCTTTATATTTGTTTTCGTAGCGTGTTGCGGGTATTCCAGATGGTCGCGAGTTATCGGTTGAACAATGTGGTGAAATTTATGGTTGTTTAATTGTTCCTCAACATTGTACGGATTCGAAATGTGAATATTTGATGCAATGGCAAGGTGAAGAAGATGATAAAGTTAAATTTCGTATACAAGCGAGAGCAGATTCATTTGCTGGAGTTGGCTTTTCAACAGATAAACATAGGGTAAAATAATATAATAAGTGAATGATATGACCGATTTTTGAAACAACAAAAAGATTATTGTTGTCTATTGTTCACTATAGGGTGATGATCAAGTTGTTCTCTGTATAAAAGATCCAAACACAAATTATGCTCGTGTTCAGAATATGTTTTTAAGTGTTCAAACTCCTCAATTAATTGAAAAAGATTATTCTGTATATGGTTTGGAAGATCCAGATGCCTATGCGAATGAGACACATATCAATTGTGAATTTACACGATCAATGGCACCTTATGGATACATTGCACCCTCTCAAACGGCTGATCAACAACAACGTGATAAAGACAAAGATAATCGGGAGAAAGATACAAGATTACGATCGAAAATTGTTGATTTAAGAGAACCACATTATGTGTATCCGATCTATGGTGATCAACAAAATTGTAAGTATTTCTTATGGACATATCACTGTGCTTACCAATTTCAACTCACTAGCAAAATGCCTCGATAAAGTTGATCTTTCTTGAAAAAAACTTCTGTTTTTAAGTACAACAGTTACCACCAGGTCCTGCTCTAACTATCGTAAATGATCATGCTGTTAACTTTTATCGTCGTCTTCGATCAAAATCTCATGTTCGAGGATCATGGTTAGCTAAAGTACATGGTAAGAATATTTTCTACGTCATACAATATAGACTAATCGTCTTTCTTATTGGCTAGCTACATTAATGATGATTGCGTGGATACTATTAGCATCAACGGGTATATTAATTGCACGTTATTATAAACCCATATGGCCAAGACTTAATTATAAATCGGAGAAACAAAGTGGCCCTTGGTGGTTATGGGTATGAATGTCTATGTGTGTGTGTATATGTTTGAACATTAATATACAGTGTTTTAATTTTATTTTAGTTCCACGAACCATTAATGATCACAACAGCCGTGTTGTCTGTGATTGCTCTTTTATTTATATTATTCGAATTACGATGGAAATGGACATCTGGTACACATCATCTATGGCATTCAATTCTTGGCATGATCGTTATTGGATTATCTTTTCTAAATGTACGTAACTGGAAACGACCTAACAACAAACAAATTGTCAACTGACATGCTAGATTAAATTCCTGAAAACTAACGTTATTAAAATATCTAAGAAAATTAGAAAAACAAGATTTAAAGTTCAACAACTGAGATAGTTATGTACGTTTAGCCATGATTTTTATGCTTTAGAAAAAATGATTTGATTTTTGTTTTCATCAGATATGATATGTAAATTAGAGAAAAGCGTTTACATCAAGCGTATCTCAGCCTTAACTGAAAAATATTCCGGTTATTAATTTAAACATTCTGTATTCGAAAAATCGAGTCGAACTCATTCTTATGTTAACAAAAACAGAAAAAAAAGAAAATTAAAGACAATACAGTAGATCTAAGTGTACAAAACTAATTATTTTATTTATAACCGAAGTTTCTGTTTGTTCTTCTAGCCAATCTTAGGTGTCCTACGTCCTGATCCAAATTCACGCGCACGTTGTTGTTGGTATTGGATGCATTGGTTAATTGGCTCGTTAGCTCATTGTATAGCAAGTTAGTTGTTAATCCTAACTTTTAAAATTTGTTTTATTAAAAATCTTTTTTCTTCTGCTCATTTCCAGTTCCAGTTATATTTTTGGGTATGGATAATCGTCGTCTTGATTTATGGAATTGGTGTTCGTGGTTACTATTGGCATGGTGTATTTTTCATATGATAGTTGAAATTATATTAGAAATACATTATTGTTGTACTATAAAAAAAAATTACGAACGTACGAAATTGAAGTCGTTTTAATCAACTATTTTTAAATTTACTATGGTTTTTATAGGTATGGACGAATTAGAATATCATCCAGATAAACAAGATCCAAGAAAACCAACCAAAGCACCGGTTCGTACAATTTCTATCATCGATATCTTCTGCTAGATAAACACTGATTATGAAATATCTTTCAATCTTTTACCTTTCATGACAGACATTATAGTTATCTGTATAGTACATAAAAACTTCTAATTAATAGCGTCCTCGATATGATATCTGTTTTGGTTATTTTTTTATGATATATATACACATGATTTGTTATTTTAGGGTTATCGTTGGAAACCCGGTCTACTAATATTTTATATTTTGATAACAGCAGCCGTTGTTATTGCACTTATCATTGCCGTTATTTTATATGATGGATATTAGAATATCAAAAATTATATTGTTAAACTTAATCTGTTTTATATTTGCTGACTAAATTGTATATATGCTTACGCTTCTTTCACCTTTATCATCCTACTAAATGTGTGTTTGTTTTTGAACAGATAAAATATGAACATGAATTTTTCTTTCAGTCAATAACAGTGACATCGTTTTACTGGAATATAAAGATACATAGTTTTTTCACTAACATTGTTCTCATGCCAAACATTTTCCGCGCAGATTTTCTTTTTTGTTTTTGAATGAATTGCGTGATTTCACTTTTCTGAGCCGTTTTTGTAATCAAATGCGCATTATTTCTATTGATTAAAGCAAACTTCTGTTTTTGTATGGTTTCTTCTTTCTCTAATCTAGTGTTTTTTCACGATATTTGTCAAATTTTAAATGTGTTGTTGTTGTTTTTTACAGATATGGTGCTTTTTTTCTCTATTCAATAGTTGAATTTTTTTTAAAGAAAATACTCACGAGTTAAAGGCACTAGATCTTTGTGTATATGTGTGTGTGTTTGTTTGTTTTAGATTAGACGGTTAATAAATTTAGAATTTGCATTTTACTCGTTACAGTATTAGTCTCTATTGTGTCTTTTTTTTTTTTGACAGTGATGTACTCAGTTTTTTATAGTAGAAACTATGGAATATATCGTATATCAGGTTTTTTTTTATAGCAGATATTGGTTTTTTCGATACATTTTGTGAATGTCATCAGTAAGAATTTAAACTCAAAACATACTTCTTGATCATCTGGAAAAATTCTAATAGTAAGCATATGATTTCAAATTTTTTCACCGATGCATCAACCAAAAATAAAGCATATGATTGAAGAAATAAACTGATGACCACATCACTGCAAACGTAAAAAAACTGTTTTCCGCTAATCAATCACGTTAGTTTAGCTGTCCAACAACTCTCATTCGATTAGTCTATCAATGACAATTTCATTTTGAAAATATATCATAAATCGCTGTTGTCGAGGAAATACGGTCATTACTTTTATGAAGCTTATATCCCTTTGCATATTTTTTTCGTTAATATTTTGGCTACGATTTAAATTAATTTTATATAAGTGACCACTACAGTAATTTAAAGGTCACATAAGGGCGCTACAGGTAAACTTATACAATATTCTAATCTGACAAACTAACCAACTGGGCATTATTTTAAAAATGTCAGTCGCTTTTTTCTGAAGTAATATTCTTCATGAAATGTTTATATTTCTGAATTAGTTTTTGTAATCTACGAAATGCGCCATATATTCCCAAGAACTCCAAAAAAAATCGCCTGGGTCATGGATGAAATTCTATTTAAATTTAATTGTTGAACTTTGTGAATATTAACGATCGCTTTGAAACTTTTCTTCACACATTCGAACAGAAAGAAAAGATTCAGAAACATTTATTTCATATTGAAAAAGTATACCTTTTTCCTTTGCCTTCGCGTGACAAATATTATTGTTATTGAAATAGATATAAAAAATTAGAACTAGAGATATACAAAAAAAAGATTTTTGATGTTACTAACACAAAAATAATATTGATTCGTACATTTGAGATAAAAAAACTAAGATTGATACCGCTCCGTTTAATTCTAAACAACCGATACGAAAAAAAATTTTACGTTCAGTTCATTTGATAGAAACACAAAAAGAAGTCTATTTGTTTAATTCGATGTTATTGTTATTATTCTAAAATTTTTAAGCTCCTTCTTGTTCACCTTCTTCTTCACCTAAAATGTTAAAGATAAAGATGAAAATCTTAATATTCACAGTTCAACTAAAATAGATACATACCTCCTTCACCCTCTTCTTCCGCTGTTGCATCTTGATATTGTTGATATTCTGACACTAAATCGTTCATATTCGATTCAGCTTCGGTGAATTCCATTTCGTCCATACCTTCACCAGTATACCAGTGCAAGAAAGCTTTACGACGAAACATAGCTGTAAATTGTTCACTAATACGTTTGAATAATTCTTGGATAGCTGTCGAATTGCCTGAAAACAAAAAAGTTTAATTGACTTAGTGAGTGCTTGTGTGATCCTCAATTAACAATTATTTTATCGTTAAATAATTTAGTACTCTTCTTTCTCTTTTATAACGTACCAATGAATGTTGCTGACATTTTCAAACCTCGTGGTGGAATATCACAAACAGCTGTTTTAACATTATTTGGAATCCATTCAACAAAATACGATGAATTTTTATTCTGTACATTCAACATTTGTTCATCAACTTCTTTCATTGACATTCGTCCACGGAAAATGGCAGCTACCGTTAAATAACGACCATGACGAGGATCACAAGCGGCCATCATATTTTTGGCATCAAACATTTGTTGCGTTAATTCTGGTACCGTCAATGCACGATATTGTTGACTACCACGTGATGTTAATGGTGCAAAGCCAGGCATAAAAAAGTGTAAACGTGGAAATGGAACCATATTCACGGCTAATTTTCGTAAATCGGCATTCAGTTGACCTTAACAACAAAAATATCAATGTTTTGTCAATCAGCAATAGTAAAGAGTTATACTAACTTACCGGGAAATCGCAAACATGTTGTTACACCAGACATTGTTGCACTAACTAAATGATTCAGATCACCGTAGGTTGGTGTTGTGAGTTTCAATGTTCGGAAACAAATATCATATAATGCTTCATTATCGATACAATATGTTTCATCCGTATTTTCGACCAACTGATGAACGGATAGTGTGGCATTGTACGGTTCAACGACAGTGTCACTGACTTTTGGTGATGGGACGACTGAAAATGTGTTCATGATTCGATCGGGATATTCTTCACGAATTTTGGATATTAGTAATGTTCCCATGCCACTACCAGTACCTATAAATAACAATAATCATAAAAAGTTCGTCTCAACGAATGGAAAACATTTAGATAATAAAATCTTTGTATTCATTAAGATTCGTTTGAAGTTATTTTTGAAGTGCTTGAATATAATGTTGCGCTATTCTCTTTCATTTATTATATCTTACCTCCTCCTAATGAATGTGTCAATTGAAATCCTTGCAAACAATCGCATGATTCGGCTTCTTTTCGTACAACGTCCAAAACACTATCAACTAATTCAGCACCCTCGGTGTAATGACCCTTTGCCCAGTTGTTACCCGCACCCGATTGTCCTATAAACAAAAAAAGAGCATAGCTTTTACAGATACATGTTTTAAGAGTTAATCAACACGCTACATACCAAAAACAAAATTATCTGGTCGAAATAATTGACCGAATGGTCCACTTCGCACACTGTCCATGGTTCCCGGTTCCAAATCAACTAGTACAGCTCGTGGCACATATTTCCCACCTAGATTAGTCAAATAAAATTATGAAAAATAAATGAGTCTAAAGTAAACAAGGTTGTGAGTATACCTGCTGCTTCATTGTAATAAACGTTGATACGTTCTAATTGTAAATCCGAATCACCGTGATATGTTCCTGTAGGATCAATTCCATGTTCATCACTAATAACTTCCCAAAACTAAATCATAAACAGTTTATTACTCCCATTCGTGAGCAAGTACGAGGAAATATTTAAAAATTATTCGCATTTAAAAAATTAATTTAACACGAAAATATAATTAGCCATTGGTAATTACGTTCTGAAGTTCTAGTGACGCCTTTATATAAACCTCTAGGAGTACTCGGTAAAATAGTCATTAGAATTAAATTTTTTTTTGATCTTCAAATTCTTTTGTACAAAGATACTTACTTTTGCTCCAATTTGATTTCCACATTGTCCAGCTTGTATGTGAACGATTTCTCTCATTTTTTTAATTTGATATTTAGCGTATAACAAAAAAAATTTACAGAAGGCTAGGCTTTAGAAGCAAGAAGACGATGTGTTGTGTCTTGTATGTGTTTAAGGCGAACAAATGACGATGACTTCAAGTTTATATATTTTAGATGAAAGTGTACGAGAGAGAATAAAGAAGAGAAGAAAAAATAAAACTATCGTCTTTGTTATAGCAACCACATCTCGCTACAACCACTCGGCAAGTATTTGTTTGAATCAACGACCATTTTGCCTGAGAGAGATAGAGAGAAGAGAACGACACGTTTTATGTATCTTGGGAACGATATACAGGTTAAATCGGTTGAGTTTTTTTTTTTCTCTTTTCTATTTTTTCTCTCTCTTATATCGGGTCGTTGCCATGATCGCACAAAAATGGATGAAGTCAGTATGTGAATTAATCATCGTCAAATTTTAGTTACATATTCGTCTCACTAAGAGTGGATTATAGTACAGTTCTCGTCAGCAAAAGAGAACAATTTTTCTGCGTATCTTGTCCGTCTGAAAAGGAAAATATGGCAGCAATAGACAGACTATTACATATTCTTAGGTGTGTACGCAGATGCTGCTGCATATACTGAATGAATGATGAAGTAAAGCAAACCACTAATTGAAATATCAAAATGAAGTTTGTGACAAGGAAGAAAGATAAGACGTCTGAAAGTGGGCTTCAGTAATCGCGTTTCTTGCTACCACTCTGCATAAAACATTTTTAAGTGATTTTCCTATAAAATTAGTTTTGTCTATACCAGGGCTGCAAATAACGGAAGGGTGCACCCCCCTCCCCCCCAAATGATTGAAAAAGCTATTGTTATTTTATCCATTATTCCTCAAACAAAATCTATTTTATCAATTTCACACTGACTCAACGAGAGAAATTTTGTTTTACCCCCCCTCCCCTAAGCGGCTCCTATATGCGACCCTGGTCTATAGACTAGGTACACTTGAACTGTTTTCTCGGTGTTTCGCCCTGTATTATTTCATTCATCGTATATGCATCGTTCTTCTGTTAAAATCGTTTCAGCTTGATGAAAAGTTAAAAACAGTTGCTACTAGGCGACAAAAAAGAAACATAAAGTTATTGCTGACAACAAAGTAGTAGTAAAAAAAATGAATTTTTTGCTATGTCTATAATATAAGCAACATTTTCGTAACCATACATACAGCTCTTTCATTAGAAATAGAAGTAACAATTCTCACAATATTAATGGAATTTTAGCGTATTCACTAAACATAAAAAAATAAAAAGGATTTTTGCTGTAGTTTATGTTTAGTGTTTATATCGCATAGAATGGCAACATAAAATAAGAAATATTGTGTGTACAAAGGAGACCTTGTACTTTTATATAAAAATCAAATATTTGATGAACATCTAGTTTTGTTCAACAAAACAATTCATTTAATCTGCTAGATAGTTGATGATGCTAGGTAGTTTTCTCAAGCTGGATGTAAAATCGAATACTCAGCCTCTTCTCATAATTTTAGCATGTTACAATCAAAATCGGATGGGTAGTGGAAAAAACATCACTACTTCTCTCTTAATATTCAATCTTATGATTATTATTTTCAAACTAGTATTACAATAATCCTGTCTAGAATTTCCAATATTCGCTTGACTATGGATAAACTATGGACACAGTTTTAATTGAAGAGTCTTTAAAATTTTATTGTTTTATTTTATGAATTAGAGATGACTGTTTGAATGCCACTAACACATTTCTGATGTTGGAATAATATCTACACATTATTTACGGCACGGTATAATCAACGTTTGCCAACGGCCGGAGAAAACATGCTCTTTCGACATTAAATGATGTATAAAGTAGTGTTCATCAATGATTTGCTTACAAAAATGACGTTGAAAATAAATAATGAAAAAGATTATGTTGAGGTGGTACCATCCCGTTGGGTAACTTACTAAAATCTTATTAAAAGAAATATTTCTTTATGTCATGTTCATTATGGGAAAAAATTCTTAAGAGGAATGATAAGATAAATCACGATATTTTAAAATCTGTTACTGTTTGTATTGCGTTAAATATTTGCATTGTGAAACTTTAGGCAGCTTCCAACTCTTTACGAGAGTGTTCAATGGAAAAAAAATGTCGTAACAATGTTGACTCTGAAAAAAGTGCCGTTTTTCTATGGCATTTAGTATCTTAAAAAAGTCAAATCAATTTTGTTACTACATTAATTTGCCGAATCTGCAATTGCCTTGTGCAGAGCTACAAAGCATCTGTTTTGTAGCCTTGAGTTTGAAGTTAAAAACTGAATTCTAAGAAAAATTTAAAGTTGCTGTGAAGGCTTTTTAAACGATTTACAAAATTTACAGAAAAGATTTTTGGAAAATTTTTCAGAAAACGAGCAAAACTCCACTTGTGTCAAAATCAAAACACTATATTTATATTGTTTTCACTAACGAGATATGAATAATAAAATGTTTTCCTTTTTTTTCTTAATACCTTTATGTTTACAAGTTAAAAAAAAGTTATTGCTCAATTGTGCGTGTAGAACACCGAAAAATGAGATAGTTTGAACACGTCAACTGAATGATTAGTAAAACGTAGTTTTCCATCACATGCCAATTAAAAAACTAAAAATAAAAAACAATTCAAATACGACTTTCAGAAATCCAATAATTTTCATCATTTTTACTTTTTATAGTTAACTATTCGTCTATGTACCATAATATCATCCAAATGTCCTATTTTTTTCACATGATTATAAGTCTTTTTCTATTAGTGAATAATTTGTTCTATGTTTCAATCGATATTTGTGATGATAATCATTTTCAATTCAATTCTTGCTTAAGTTTTCGTTCGCCTTTTCGTATTCTACATACAAACAGAATGTGTCCGCCTTTTTCATCTTTATTATTATATATACTTTCGAGGAAAGGAACAATAACATATGAAACAAAAATGGAAAGTTCAATATCATACTTCAGAAGTATTGATTAACGGCAAATAAATTCATACATTTGACGACATAATTCAATGTAATAAGTAAGTCCTTATGTTGCATAAATCACTCCACATGCTACATGTGATCCAACGTGACCAGTTGTTTTTGAATCAGGATATTGTCCAAGACCGAAATCATCAACATCTTGATGAATAACAATTGTACGATTAATAATCGATTGATTTCCATCATCTAATCGAATAATAGGATCAGTAAGGTGAATGACAGCATAGCCATTTTGATCTGTTAATATATTTCCTAAATCTCCTACGTGACGTTGATTCGATGGAGATTTTTGAGCACCATGAGAATGATTATACGGATTAAAATGTGGTCCGGCTGCTGTGCAACTATTGATTAATCTGTCGATCCATTGTTCATGAACGTGAAAACCACGATACGAATGATGAGGTGGTAAACCTTTCAACGTACCATGAATAAAAACCGGACTTTGAGAATTGATTTGTGTAAAATATAAAGTGCCAATAGTTGATATATTACTCAAGTCAAAATATAATTGAGCTTTGGCATGAAGAGGGTATAATATGGCAGTTAACGATGCAATGAAATCAAATAATAGTAATATAAATAACATATTAATGGATCTACGATCGAAAAAATGGAAGAGGTCATGTTAAAAGATGATAAAAAATTTAGCACAAAAAGGGAGAGACACACACGTTGACATGATAAAAACTTAATATCTAACACGTATTTTAAAAACTCAATATTATTTCTAAGGCAAACTGAAATTTTCTCTTACTGTATTGATATATGATTTAAGGTGTAGTATCTAGTTGTCAAACACTTGATGTTTGTTAATAAAGATTCCCTGTAACTTAATTGATGTCTGTTTAATTTTTACTCGGTCTTATTCTACAATGAACTGTTGCATATAATGGTCAGTTCTGCATTGTATAAATTAAATGTGTAGAATGAGTGACTTCGCTGTTTTGTCGATCACTTATAACGTTCTGTATCTAACTTCGAGATTGGTCAGGTCTGATTATTTTTCCTAACCATTTAGTTATGAAAAGTGAGAAAGTTCAGATAGAGTTCGTATTATTTGCGTGCTGTTCAAAATGAAAATAGTTTGTTTTTAGTTTATTGCTTTCGTTATGTTACAGAACGAAAAATATATGTCTGATTTCTATTAATAAAAAACGTATTTGTGTATGTATGCAGAGACGTGTTCCCACTCCGTTAATTCAAAGAAAGTGTGGAAAAGGCACTCCAATAAAAGCTTTGAACAGAATGTCAACTGAAACGCAAACGACTCTCTCCTTAGCCTTTTTATCCATTGAAAATACTGTTGATCAAATAAGTATTGGGAAGCTCATAGATTTAACGTCGAACTGCGTTGTGTCACAGAAGGTATGCTGGAGAATTTCGGAATTGAAAAAGTTGAAGTGAAAATGTTAATAATGACACAAAAGGGAGTAGTATAATAGTCGAGCTGTTTAAAACCGATGAAATAAAAAACATAATAGAAGATACACATGAGGAGTTTAATAGAGATATGGTCAGTAGTAAACCAATCAAGAACAAACTCAGCAACTGGTTTTGAAATTTTACGATCGTGTACAAGAAATGTGAAAATTAGAATGTTTAAATGACCTATACTGGCCAGTTACAGCCATCATGGGGATAAAAAACATTCAGATTATGACGTGAATGTCGAAAGTGGTATTGGGTGGTCGAGTGTCAGTAAAAAAATCTCAAAATGATAAAAAACGAACAAATAATAGTGGAAGGCAGAAACCAAATCCAATAAGTCAAGTGATGTAAAAATAATCGTAAAGCATGTGATATTTGTAAAATAAATAGAAATAATTCATAACTACAACCGATTTTAATTTCTAAAATTAACAAGTTCCTTTCCTATGTCTAAGTCGAAAAAAGCCATTTATACTACTTATAAATCACATGAATGCATATCCCACTGAAATATCACGTTGTATCTTACCTGATAAATAGATTCACAAAGTTTGCGTTCAAATGGCATTTACCGCTTTGCGACATGTATCCAACAAGCACTGTCTTCTTTCTGAAAACGTCGGCGAAAAGACGAGCATAAAAAATAGTAGAGTAAAGTGGGATAATTATCAAGAGGGATCAACTTCTTCTTAGTTTGCCTATGGTTCGACTATTTTCAGTTGGAGAAAAACGGTATTCCACAGGTAGATACCTGGGATTCTTAACTATCCACTGATGTGAAAATTGTTCGAAAATGCATTACCATTAACTACATTAGGTGATCGCTCGCTTCGTTTCAAGACAATTCGTCTTGGACAAATCATCCCCGGACATTTCGTCTTACGGACACTTCGCCTCGGATCCTTCGTCTCATGGACAATTTGTTCCATAGACAATTCGTCTACTCGATAAAAACGGACAATTCCTCTCTTATGGACTGTCCCGTTAAGAACATTCTGAGAAACACTGAGCGTAGCAGGACTGTAAGATGAATCCTAGTGTCCCGTTCTTTACATATTCACCATAAAACTAAGGAATGAATTACATCTGAAATAACAGAGTCATTATTTTTGTTTTAAGAAGAATTTACCATTTTATACTCCAAAAACGTATTGTAAAATACGAAAAATGGTACACATCTATCCAATAGTAAATATATGATGTGTCCAAACAATAAAACTTCATAGACTACTAAACATTATAGCATGAACAATTTCTAAATAACCTAAAATTTCACCTTCAATAGAATACTATTACAATCTGAGAAATTGTATGAAACCGAGGAACATTCAAAATGGAAACTTCTAAATGACTAAAAAAATCAAAAAACCCTCATTTTTTGTTATCTCAAGATATCCGAAAGTTTTTTTTATGAAATGGAAAACTGTCAACTACTTTTCAGAACATAGTTTAGTCGTATTTTAGAAAACGAAAATTAATTATTTTTGATAAGATTGAAAAACGTTTAGAAGATTCAAGGAATAAAGAACGGAAAATGATATAATTTCTTTCGTCCATTTACGTTATGACTAAATCAGTAATGTTACTGTTACAAACAGACTATGCTAGTGCTAATATAATATCTACTTTTTTTTGTTCCTTAAGTTTAAGTCCAAATTAGTTTTATGGTGAATATGTAAAGAACTGGACACTAGGATTCATCTTACAGTCCTGCCACGCTCAGTGTTTCTCAGAATGTCCTTAACGGACAGTTGGTAAGAGATGAATTGTCTTTGGAATAAATTGTCCGGAGACTAAATTTTCTGAAACAAATTGAGTGAAATGAATTTTCCGAGACAAGTTCTCTACGACAAAGTGTTCGGAAACAAATTGTTCATGAGATGAAGTGGCCGTAAGACGGAATGTCCGAGGACGATTTGTCCAAGACAAATTGTCCTGGAACGAAATGACCCAGTACTCGTTAACTAGTACCATTCAACTTCCAGCTCGTTGCTATGAAAGGGCTAAAATTATCCCATTTGAGATAATTATAACCAGCCAACGTACACCGATGAGGTAATTATAACTACTACAGCAAAAATAGCTGGGACGCATGTAATTTAACTTTGATTCAACGGTGAACTTTAACCTTTTTAATTAAAAACTTGTCTGTCTTGTAGAGAATTTTGAGGTCTATCTCTTTTCTGAGTTGCCAAATGAACGGTCAAAAGCATTTCGTTTTCTTCTGGTTTCCACATGGAATAATGCATAACGGCATGGCGTTACTCTACCAGCTCATCAGTATGATAGCCTCTGGAACCATATGGAAACTAATTTGTGTCTATTCCAATGTGACTTGAACGGAGTGGTTATATTTACCCGTAAAAGATGGTAGTGTGGTTATAAATACTCCAGTTCGGATATATCGAAAAAAATGGCTGTTTCCTTAATTGATTGTAGCAAGGCTCAACTAATTAATTAATAGCAAGCCTGATGCACTGGCAACTCACAAAAGAGATAGAGCTCAAAATTCTCTACAAGATAGACTAGTTTTTAATTAAAAAGGTTAAAGTTCAGCGTAGAATCAACGTTAATTTATATGCGTGCCAGCTGTTTTTGCCATAGTGGTTATAATTACCCTATTCGGAGTATTATAGTCATTTAATAGCAACGAACTGGAAATTGAATGGTACTAGTTAACATAGTGAATTTTCGAACAATTTTCACATCAGTGGATAGTTAAGAGTCCTAGGTATCTACCTGTGCAATACCATTCAAAAAAATATTTTCAACTCGTCAACCGATAACTTTTCCAAAGAACTGCCAGTGAAGCTGGTTACCCCATGCTCTGAAGTGAAGTAATTGATAAAGTTTTGTCAAGATACTTGTTTTGAAAACCATTAATCAAGTTTTTGTTCAAGATGATTAAGATCAGATTCTGCTAACATCTACTTCAAGATCTTAATAAGATTTGTCAAACAATCTATTGGACAAAGAATTTTGCAAGATTTGCTCACGATATAAGATTTCTTTGAGACTAGAACAACAATTTTACATTGATTTTTCATTAAAAGAGAAGAGTTTCGGTGTATAATCGATAATTCATCTGAAAAAATCTTAAATATTTCTTATTGTTTATGTTAATTAATAATAGCTGCTTGTATACGTTTAGGAGTAGAAACATGCAATTACTATTCTCTCACTGTAAGTGAACTACTGTTTGATTTTTATTATAAATAGGTTCAATTAGAATAGAAACAAAATCTAATTTGAATTTTCGTACTCTATATTATCAGTGGAATGTTCTTTAATTTGTCGCTTATTCTCTACTTCTTGTTCTTGTGATAAAAGTATACACTCATTATTAATATTATTATTATTTTCAGTTTTCTTGCATTCTACTATTGCTCCATCATTATCTTTTTCTTTCGGTCGCCGAAATGTACGCATCGTCAATTGCATTTGTGGAATATATGTTTGGTCTTTTCGTTGCAAAATGGCGCATAGTTCATGTCTAAAGTTGGTTGCCGTAAAACAATAGAGAAAAAAATTAATAGCATGACTTGTAAATTGAATACTAACAAGAATAATTTGAATCATATAACGATAGAGACGTGGATAATGAGACATATTATGACGAAAAAATACGAAATAAATACATGCGGGTAATGTTAAAACCATAAATGCAAATGTTACTGCTATTAACATAATCGTTATTTGTCGAAGTTGATTTTGAGATCGACATGATTTTGTTTTTATACGAGATGAATTAATACTAATATAGATAATATAAGTATTGCAAATACACATGATAATAAATGGACACAAATTATAGACAATAAGATGAACACGTTCCCAATTGGGAAAAATATATTTAGAATTTGTTCGTGTTTGGTAACAGATAACACAATCTTTTATACATGACGAATTATCAATACGATAACCATTTTTAAACAAGATGTGACAATTGAGTAGGAGACAGAAAGATGTTAAAATGAGTATATGGTATACGGCATATGTCGGTTTACCACACATCTGTTTCCAAGACATTGAATATAAACTCAGACAACGATCTAAATATTAAGAAAAAATAAAGATCTTTGTTTCTAAAGACCAGAATTTTCCTGAATGAACATGATCTTTTTCTGTTTACACAGGATTATTGTTTCGGGTACGGCTTTAAAAAAATAGAATATAAAAAACAAACAAGGGACTCGAGTCGTTCGCAAAATTAAACAAAACTACACATTCAAAAATAAACTAGCACTGTTAGTATTTTTGCGTACGATCGAGCAAGTACTTGTGGAGTCGTCAGAGCCATGCAGGTTACGACTTTTTGACAACCTATAACCTACCCTAACGTATTAAAGTTTTCGTAACCTAATATAACCTATGCCATTTTTGTCCAAAATCTGGCTTCAGAAGCCTAAACTTCAGCTTTGTTCCAGATCGTTGTTGTTTCTTATCTAAACAGCGTCTGATAGAAAAAGCTTATACAAAATAAATCATATTTTAAATGAATAAAAAATGAATCGGTTGAGTCTTTTATTCTTTAATGCAGTATTTGGAAAATAGTTTTCTGAGCAGGGAGATCCTCTTAAAAGTAGACCAGAATTTCACATTAGACTCTCGATGTTACGAAGGTTCTGTTATTGTTGTGCATCCGCCATCTATTTTTAGCAAACGTAAGTATTTTCTCTGTACTTCCTTTGTTGATTGTGTCATTTTTCAGTTTAAAAATATGGTTTAAACAGAGAACCTCAGCCTGAACTTTATCGATTGAGCGATAAAGTTTCACTTAAACGGTTTCAGAATTACATCCGTTCTACTAGTACAAGTAGATGTTGATGCTCATGTATTTTCTTATTTTTTCGATTTTTGCAGGTGGTATCGAAATTCGTTTAACTTTTGTGTCAATCACTTTCATAATGTCCTGGCTGAAATTCGTCTTTTTTTCCGATTTCCTCACGCATTTGTTTTTTAACGTGACACTTTGATTTTCGTGAAACGTATAGTTTTTTCGTCATGTAGTGTCATCACTTGTATTTTCACCGGTTAGCGCTAGAAACTGGTTTTTAAATGTGCAAATAAAGAACAACAAGTAAATTTTGGTGCGATTAATGCTAAGCGAAAGCGTGAGAAAGTCTCAGTTCATGACACAAAAGGAATATCTGTTATTGTTTATGGCAGTTATTTGACCCAATAAGACGACGCTTTATTAGTCAAAATATTGGCGATTTTAATGTGATCGTTCAAAATCGGGTTTTTTCGTTTAAGTGAAAAATAGATTATCAATACTGTAAATTGCAACCGAAACTATAAAAAATTTCATAACCGAATCTAACCTATAGGTTAGTTTAAGTAGAGGTTATGTTTAACCTTCAGGGCTCTACTAGCCGTGAAAAAACTGATAACTTCTAGGACTTAATGCAGGCCGTTCAGATGATCGAAAAATAGCCAAAATAACGGCCTCAATGGTAAAAAAATAGTCATTTAAGGGCAGAGACCTGAATTTTAGGGGGTATGGGGGGGTGCGTCCCTGTTTAAGGGGCGTTTAACTTGCTTTCGAAGAGTCATCAATGAGTCATTAACTTCGCTGTTTTCTTCGTGTTAGGTGAACTTTTTACTTTTAATCATGTATAGCGAATGAAATACGGTAACATTTAATGAAAATTTGTTTGAAAATACAAGTGTATCGTTTAGAGGTTATAATCTGTTGCAACGATGCAAATCTTTTTTCGGATAGTTAGTATGCAACAACCTTTATGTTTTTGTAATCCAGCGTATACGTCATATTATTAGGATATAATGATTAAGATAGAGCATGCTGATACACCGGGTCCCATGACTTATACGTACTTGAGACAGACGAGAAACAAACTTCCGAAACTTCATCACAACTCGCTCACGAAGAAAATCACAGATCTACTGGTTATAACTCCAGAGACCTCTTGCAGGAAACTGAGTGCCATTTTTTAGTGGAATTGGACACAAACCAAACGGCCATTAGGATACTGAGGTGTGAAGTATCCATCCTTAGTCCGCTTGAGATTTGAAAAAATTCGACAGTTTACGATGAAGAGCCGAAAAAATTCCTCCAACAGATAGTCTGGCAATCTTTCCCACACAGGTGTTTCAACTAAACTACCATAAGGAGACACATATGACTGCAAGTATGAGACCAACTAATCGCCTAATTTTTTATCGGATTAGTATCAGTAGCTGTGGTCATGAAATGTGATCAGTCATGGGAACAAATCTTTTTTCGGACAGTTAGTATGCAACAGCCTTTATGTCTTTGTAATCCAGCGCATACGATATATTATCAGGACGCGAGAACATTTTTTCGATTGACTCTTAAAAAGTCCCACAAGGCTAAAAAAGGTTTATTTCGCGAAGAATATCTTTCGTTAATCTATTAGTCATAAATGAAGTAAACCATTGGATAGACTGTAAAACAACTTTATCAGGGCATATCTTTCGAAATTTTTTTACATTTATACTTTTTGATGGTTTTGTGAGCAAATTGTTTTTCTACGTTTTGCACTTCCTACTAAATCGATATTCCAGCTGATAGGACATTCCGAAAAATACAATTTTCGCCGAATTCCAGGTTGTTCATGGCAAATACAATATCGAAAACAATTTCTACAATTCTGGAAGTAATTTATTATTTATTTCACGTTTTAAACAAGAATAGCAGTTAATCACCAACGTAAAGATTCCAAAGACATGAAAGAATATAGAAATGTTCACAGTTTTTGACTGTGATTTCGAATATGAAATTTTTATTGCATAAAAGTTGCGTTCTTTTTCGCCTCTGATTTAGAAAAAATAAACTTTCTCACCAACAAAATATAATTTAAAAAATTCCTTAGTAATAAAAGTTTAAAAAATTAATAAGTTTTTTCTGATTCTCCATGGAAAACTGACTATAAAAAGCTGTATTTCTAAGTTTTAAAGTTGAAACTGACCGCCAAATTCACGAAACAGGAGCAGAAACGTACCTACTCCACTGTCAAACTTGCAAACGTATCTAGTTTTTTCCATCGAAAGACTAAGCATTAATTGCTATTTCCTTCTAATCTGTGTACTTGTAGGAAAAAAAATATGCGAAGCTTTTTTTAAAATTTTGTTTCGTTCCTGAGAAAATTCATTTTTTTCTAAATCAGAGGCAAAAAAGTCGGAATTCTGTTGGTAATCAATTTTCTCCACCAGAACTCAATTTTTCAGCAAAAAAATATCATATTCAGAATCAGGATCAAAAAACTGAGTCGACTAATGTGTATTTCGAATGTTTTAGTTGATTTTCATTTTTTGGTAGAAATTCGAAAAAAATTAAAGTTCAGATAAGACAGAAATAGATAGGTTTAGAAAATTGCAAGCCCGTACTTTAGAGGGCCGGTTTGGGATGTCCATGCTCAATAGGCTTCTAACTTCGAAATTGATCAAACACTATTTTTCTATTCACTTTTTAACGTTGAATAAAAGTATTTTCAAGTTTTCGACAGGAAAAAAAATTTTGAAAAATTAAAAAATACATTTTCTTAATCAGCTCGATAAGCTCTATCCAACGATATATAACAAATTAAGAAAAACATTTTGCTTTAATTTTGCATTGTGCTTAATTTACTTGAACATGAGTTGAACTCATTTTCCACGAGATTATTATCTCATCAAGCGCAGTTTAATAAGTTTTAGGAATAAAAATAATAAGACGCAAAAGATCTCCCGTGTAAAATGCTGACTTATACACGCTAATTCAATATTTTACATAGACATTTTAAGATAAATCTTACCTACACTAACTGCTGTTAAACACCACGACGATAATTGCAAACCGACAAATGACATAAACGATACGGCACGGCAATGAAATATTGATAATTCTTCTAAATTATCTTGACCTGGACTAATTGTAAATTTGTAAAAATTATTTAAATTCCATCCATACAATGAAATAGTATCAGCCACACTAACAGCAATCAAATATCTCATTGTCACATATCGTCTTAAATTTCGTCGTAACAGAACGACAATCGATAGACAATTACCCAATGTGCCGATAATAACTAAAACTAGAGCATAAATTGATAATGCTTTAATGATAAATAAATATCGATTATGTTGATAATTTGGTAATGATAACGAGGAATTTGAGGATGTTTTTGTTTGATCCATGGACTCAACATAATCCATATCCTAAAACATGAAATAAAAACAATTAAAAGTGGTTAAGATCTACTACTTCATTATCCGACAAAGAAAAAAAAGTCGTATATTGTTTTTCTGTGCTAGAATCCAGTGACATTAACTTTCTTATAATGCAAAAATTTAGTTTACTTTTCCATTTATATTATTCATTTTTTCAAACGAATAACTTTTGCTTATTATCAGTACTACTCACATTTAAAAAATGCGTATCTTTTTTCTTTTGTTAATTATCCAAAAGCTCAAAAACAAATAAACTGACACTTTTCATGTTATTCATAGTTCCCATTACTATATATTCAACCTGTACTATCAAGAGTCGACGATACAGCAATTACTATAAAATTACGATCACTAAAAAAACACACTGAGGAGATATGGATATTTTTAACGTAAGAGATATAGATGTAATTAACGATGATGAAATAAAAACAATAAATAATATGATACATTATCTTTTTCTACTCTAATATACTAACACTCTAACAAACTAATATCATACTATGACGAACAAAATACAAATGTTGACATTTATTTTAAAATTGAAATATTGTTTTCATTAAAAATGAAGTTTATTGAATTTCATTATAACAAATATTCACAATTATTTTATTAGGCTTCAACATTCAAACTAATTTCTATTACTGCATTAAAAAATTAGACGTGGAAGTGTCCTTTCTTTTAGATAAAATTTGAACAATGAGAAAATACAATTCATTATGTAGTCAAAGTTTTCTAGAAATAAATTTTTTGTCTTCTTATATTCAGTGGTAGAAAAAAAGAGTTATTGTTGTCATCTATTGATATAAAAAAAACGAAAATCAGTGAAATATTTTCTCATCTAAATCTAAGTCCCTATAGCCAATCCATCGCTTCTATTTTTTCAGCAGTAAAAAGAATAAAAGTTTAATCTATATTATTAATTCTATGATATTGACTATATATTGATTCTTGTAACAGTGCTTACAAGATAAGGATTATCTTTTTTTCTTGGTACAGATTATATCAATGTCTATATATAAAAATTATAAGCAATAATTTACTCGAGAAATTTTGACAAATTACCGAATAAGAAAAGTGAAATATGTTTTTCTTCGAAATGGACACATATAAATTATGAAAATAAGACAAAGTACAGATTTTTCTATTAAATATACTTCAGATAACTCATACATCAGTTGATTTAGATAATACGTACAAATACAGCTGAAAAATGTTCTCAAAAAGCGATTAATTCAGAAACTGACACGAATAACATTTTGTTTCCTAGTACAACATGTCAATAATAAATAAAAAATCTTACCACTCAAATTTCTAATTTATCAGTTTAAAATATATTTTATATGATTTTTATTGTAGAAATAGAAGTATTTACATGTTTTCTTTCTTTAATCATTGAGAATATAAGTTTTTTTAGTGTTTAAACATATTGTATGTATACAACAAAAGTAATTAGTACTGTTAGAATCCAGCCCAAAGATGTCATTTAGACAAATGACAAACGAAAACAGAAGGAAGTAATCTTTTGATTGAGAACTACTGACGGTAGATACGATACACTCATACAATTTACTTATTGTATTTTTTTTTTTGTTTTAGTACTAACACAATTATGTGTTTTGTACCTTCATTTTGAGAGAAAATATGTTAGCTGTATTATATCCATTAAAACGAACCTCAAAAAAAAACTATATAATTATATGATGTTTTGATCGGTATCTAATCGAATCTAGTACACACTATTTACTTCTCTGATGAATTAATGATATATCTAAATAACATACAATGTTAAATAGTACCAAATAGATACAAATATAGATAAGAAAGAATAAGAAGAAAAATGAATACACAAGATAAACGTCTTGTGCTGTTGCTTACATTTCAGTGCAGTGTACTTGTCAACGATGATTGCATTGTCAGAGCAGTTAAAATTAATAAATATGAAGAAATTTGTATTTCCTCATGAATAATCTTAAACTTATAACTCACTGTCTCATCATCCATTCTGTACATCCATTTCTAAGATCTACTGGAGTATAACACTGCAAAAACGTTGAATATCAGTCTTCTTTGAAAAAGATAAAAAAGTAATTAAAATCAATCTTCATCTAATCTTTTTTACGTGTACAATATTCTTTTTTTTATTCAATAAGAAATAATTTGTGTAATAAATGAAGTGAGGTAGGTTGATACACTGATTTTATTTCGAGATTTTAATGTGCTGACTTTTAACGTTCATTTAAAAAAAATTCAAAGATCAACATTGATAAGTATCATGAGATGTTGACGATTAGTATATTAGCCATAGTGACGCCTTTAGTAATTATAAGGCATGTCCAAATCTTCAGGAGATAGTTCGTAAGTATTTGTCAATGTATGCTGGAGAAAATATCACATTTATAGACTTATTTAAGACCATTTTTCTCCGAATAAAGCTAACTTAACTAAATTCGAAACATTTTAACGCTGTTTATAATTACTCCATATCACTCCATACGATTAATACATCGCATATTAGTAAGATCCATTTGTAATCTTGTGATATAATTAATTGATGCTATTGACTTTATTTAACAAATAATCATTAGTATTCTCGCATACATTGATAAATACTTATGAAATACCTGCTGAAAGTTTGGAAATGCTTTATGATTGCTAAAGACACACACCATTATAGCTAATGTACTAATCGTTAACACTCCATGGTACTTATAAATGTTGATCTTTTACCGGAATAAACATCAGATTGAAATTTTACTTCTTTCTAATTGAACACTTTTAATTATCAGTGTAACACATCTTCCACGTCAGATTGATTATTCCAATTTTTTCTGTTAAAGAAATCTGATGCGAAACAAATTCTTCTAATTATCTTAAAAAATCAATCACACCTTATTACGAGTGTCTAAAGTTTTTCTCAGTTTTTTTCTGTACAGTTATTAATAAATGATTGAAAAACCATAAACTGCGTTTTTGTACACTCTTGCTCGATGGTTCTAAAGAGCCTGATGTATTCTAAAGAGCCTGTGTGAATATTCTTTCCTTTGTCAACAAAAAATTATTCGATTTCAGATTATAGTATAATTGTTTCAATTTGCAAAGGAAAGTGCACATTATAAAATAATAAAATTCTGAATTGTTTTTTATCATAGCATTGAATAATCGAAATTGATGACATAGGAGAAGAAAATGTCTTATTGTTTGTGGTTTAACATAACAAACTCAACATGATTGCCGGAAATTACATTTGAAGAGTTCTGTTATATGTCTGTCACTTCTAATAATAATTTATTTCATTGTTGTCCACAGAGGATTACTGAAATATTGTACAATAATGTGAGTACATGATAAGTAGATATATATATATCAAATCAACACACCGTGACCTACATTTTTGGAAAACAAAACATATGTTACGTACAAAACGTTTGAATCACCATTGTTCTTTAGACGTATTGCGATACTACACTCGAAACCGTGCAACAGCAATCTATGAACATATCTATACACTTTTAATATAGAGAACAAAAGAGCCCATTATAAAGACAAAAAAAAAATGAAGTCATTCTAAAAAACGCTGTTCGCAGCCCAGTTTAGAAGGAAATACGGTTAAACTGAAACGTGAAGTGGAAAATCACAAAAATTTCTTTTATACTACAACATGATTTTCATCAAGTATTATCGGTGGAATAACTTTCTCACAATTTCTGCATACATATTCTGACGCATTCAATATGATGTGTATTTCTTAAAAAGGTTACTTATGAAAAACCTTATAGCAAACAGATAGCTTTAAAACAGCAGTAAGCCATAGAAATCTTTAAGGAAGCGCATCGTTCATACATGGAACGCACCAGACGTAAGTGAGGATCAGTACGCAGATCTTCCCGGTTTTCTGTATTTAACTCGTCAGCTTTATTTCCCAGTATAACGATATCCTTACGTTTAACTTTTCACAACATTGGTGGCAGATTTGCAGGTCTTGGCTGATGTTCTTTCAATGGTCCCTAGTCGAGACTCCTGATTAATCTCCCGCAGGAGTCCTGGAAAACAGTCCTACAGGAGTCAGCAGGAGTCCTGTCACGGGATCCCGGCAGGATCCTCTGTGGAGTCATGGAGGATTTTTAAGGGATCCAAGAGGGATTCCTCAAGACTCTCACAGGAGTTCTATGGGATTCTTAAGGAAGTCCATGGGGAGTTCTCGGAGATTTTCAAGAGAGTCCTTGGGGACTCCCTGCGGGTCTATTAATCCATCTTCTTAATTTTATGTAACTAATTAGTAATTAAGTGCTAGATACTATCACTGGTACCGCTGCAGCACATATCACCCA